CCCGGAGCGCGGGGTATCGACTCAGGCAGGGTCAATTCTTTCTGAACACATAGTAGCTACAACCGAGACGGCCACAGGCAGCTTCATCCGAACCGACTGCAGACAAAAGACAAAAGTCCGCTCGCCCCCGTACGTGCTCAAACCCTGCTGACCCCCACCCTCCAAGATAATAACGAAGTAAAATGGTGGAATACACCAATCAATCGGAACGGCCTTACAGGAAACACGAAGAGACGAAAAAGGAATTTTCGCTTTTCGCCGGCTGGGAGTTGAACTTCGGGGTGGCACTTTCCGGCAGTCCACACTTCAGCACGCCCTGCTGCTACACAATTGTAGTACCAAACAACCGACACGGCCAACTGATCCGGAGGTGGTCGGTAGATCGGTGGTTCGAATCTCCGTCAAATTAAAGTTTTTCTCAGGCCAAATTTAAAAGAAAATCGAGGTAAAATCGAACACGTCATTTCAACAATCATTCTTCCCGACAGATCGCCGTATAGATCGCTGGTTGACACAAAATAACACCTTGCGACGCCTATAAGTTAAAGAAGGCTCTTTACTGTAAGTCCAACAGCCAAAAAGACGGGGGCCGGTTCTGACGAATTGCGCGTCATAGCGGCCGCTGAGGAAAAAGGTCCGGTTCCCTCGATCACCGAAGAAGCCCAGCTTAAGCAATAATTTGTTCACACTACTAGAACCTTTGGTGAAGCCAAACGCTGCACGGCACCCCGCCGTCGGTTTTTCGCGTTTTTTTTTACGAGTTACGTCAGTTACGTTATGACGCCTTGGTTGCAGCCACAACTCTGCTGCCACCTGCGACACAAGCAGGGACGCGTTCTGGCAGGCCGGCCGTCGCCGCCCGCGGAGTCCAGAGGTCGGCAACCCATCGGTCATGGTGACGAGCAGGCGGCCTACGCGCACGGCGGCTGCACCAGCGCGGTGGGCACACTCGCACAAGTGCAGTAACGGCGCTTGTTAAGCGCTTGTTAGTCAATAACGCGCAGATTACACTGCTGGAGGAAATAAATTAATAACTTACTGTAATTTAATCATGAATCCCGCAACCTGCAGGTTGTTTATTAACGGTGCATTTAGTCACAGCACACTACTCTTCACTCCCACCTACAGTGTCCTACACTGCAACTGGAAAAGTCATATCCCCTTAAATACCGAAAATTCGTTCGTAAATCTGTGCCCATGCAACCTCGAGTCCTACCCCACAAACTCTCAACTCTCCCCGAACCTCCGGAAGATCGGGGAGACTGTCCCTGAAGTTTAACTGATTTGACTTTTTAACGATACACATGGTTAACAAAGGTTATGGGTGTACCTCACCTCACGACCTTGAATGACAGCACATCAGCATAGGACATTCCAATGGGGCGCTGCCCGGGACTAAAAAGAACAAAAATGGATACAGAGCAGAGTGGGGGCGGACGAGCGGAGGAGCGAAGGGGGGGAAGGAGACATCCCCGCCCGCCCCTCCTACCTACTACCTCCGTATCCCTTTTTGTTCTTCTTGGTTCCGGGCAGCGCCAGCGCCCCATGGAATACCCTATTCACATTCAGGAGGGCGATCGGAGAGCTCCCTGAGAACGCTCCACTTCCGTCCTCCCACTACCCCCCTCACCCTGTTTCAGCCGATTTAGAAGGCGTTTCCGGTTGTTTTCAGGGAGCTCTCCGATCATCCTCCAGATACAAAAGCCAACATATCAGACACAAAACAAATAGTTTTATCTTGCGTGATACCCTCTATTTGTACCGGCAAACAACTGTAAATTTGTGCTCTTCCAGTAAACAAGACCATTTGTACGTTAAGTGAGAAAGGCATTTGTTTCCGATTAGTTTTCTATTGTTTTGTGTTGCCTACCTTTCATCGGGAGCCCCCGCCCCAACCCGAACCCAAGCCAACCTTCCCCCTCCAACTTGAACGTGTTTGGTTGGGAATTGGTGTGCTAGAGTGCTAGGCCAAAAACGTGGCAGGACGATCAGTGTGAAACAGCGCTACTAAGTCGACCAGCAGTTCATCCAAAATGCAGTGCAATTGGGTTGAGATGGATGTGGAGGTTGTCAGCCAGACCGGACCCGATCAGCAGCTCAAGGCGAAGGCGGCCCTCCTTGCAAAAGCGTCAGGGGTGAGTGAAGGGGTGGCCGGGCCGTAGTCCGTAGTTGGGGGTTGAGGTTAGGTTTGGTGGGTTTGGTTATGAACACCGTCGCTGCAGTGGCATTTATCGCACATTACAAGTTTTCTCTCTTCATATGTCTCATATGACCTCAATTAAACTAACGGGTAGTGCAACTAACAACGTTCAGATGCCTCGATGCTCAGTTGCTGTCAAGCTTGGTTAAGGTGCACTTACACTCGGCGTGTCCGCCGCTGTATCCGCTCTGATTTTTCTATCACCAAACGTTAGAAAGTGTGTCCAAGTCCAAAACATACGGTTGTTCATTTGAACAGAGTTTCCACTTACGCAGCGAAAGCGTAAAGCGCACCGTAAAAGAGTGGAGTGAGGGTACGCACCCTAACCCCATCTTGGCGCATATTTGGGTTTGACGAGTGGCGAAAAGCATTTTATGGAGTTGCCATACGTTCAGGCCATGCTGTAGCGATAGTACCATTAATACCAAGGTGTCATACAAAATATATGTCAATGTAAGGTTGGGGTGCATCCCCCACTCCGCTCTTTTACGCCCAGCGGCTGCGCTTCAGCCTGCTGACAGCCCCTGAGAGTGACATTATATTGTTCTGTCGTAGGTTACCCGGCTGGTGAAACTGTCGTGCGACAAGGACCCCACGTGGAGCCTCAAGCTGCTGCAGCGCGCGGCGCCCACGGTACAGCGGCTGAGCGTGTACTTTGCCCTCAAGACGCACCTGAGCGTGGTGCACACCATGCCGCGACTGACGCGGCTGAACGTGTCGGGGCACTTCGCCCAGCTCGGCCGGCCCCTCGAGCTGCCCTCCTCGCTCCCGCTGAGGCCCGCCGGTTTGCAGTGGCTCAGCGTAGGCGTCATCGCCCGCACCACGACGCAGTCACTTCTGCGGGCCAACGGCCGCACCCTGGAGGAGGTGGAGCTGTGGATTGGCACGGCGGGGAACAAGTGTTGGCCGGACAGTTGCGGCGACCTGGCCTGGCTGCTGCAGCAGAGCGGGCTGCGGGCCATCAAGAGGATCGTGCTGCGGAGGTACAAGAGGTGCAGCCACGAGCCAGCCGCCTGCAGCAAGCAGCTCGCCGAGGTGCGGCGGGTGCTTCCCAGCGCCGAGGTGAAGTGCGGCAAGTGTGACTACGCCAGGGAGGATGAGGTCTAACGTCCCGAACGTCGGGCGGCGTGCAGCACAGTTGTGTGGGCGCAAGAAACAGTTTCTTTTGACTTTAGCGTGGCAGTTTCAATGATGAGCAATGAAACCGTCTGCAGCTAATAAATGCATGTTTTACCACATTCCCATGCGCTTTATTTTAGTGTCCTGGTTCGTGCCCGAGTGAAAGGATCCTCAGTTAAACTGTAGTTTAAACTGTAGTGTTTCAGCTAAGACATACTGAAGAAAAAGTGATGCAGAGTCCGAAAAGTCAGTACTTTTTCTATAGTTAAACTATAGTTTTCTAGTTTAATAGCATTTTTCCTCGTGTTACTTGACTTTAGTTTAACTGAAGATTCTTCCACCTGGGTGTCATTTTATTTATTGTTGCAATGATACATTCAACACAAACACGACTTGACTAGAAAACGGGTAATAAGTGCTGTAGTTTAATCCACCTGAGTGCTCTGAGCCGCGCGACTATCGAGATCTAGCGACGGGCAGACGGAACTTGTTGTAGTTCCTCTGTATCAGTCCTAATGTCCTAAAAATGTCCCTAGAACGTGAAAATGACGCCATTCGACCGAAATTTAATACCAGAGAATCAATACGGCCCGACAGGATTGTAGGCAACTCATTGTGGTCAATAGCCAAGCCGGCCGTTGAGACATCCCTGTTTGTAGCTACACAGTTTGTAGCTACCAATATCGACACGGCTAATAAAGTCTCTAGGTCTCACAAGCGGGGACGCCGAGGCCGAGGGCCGGCCGCCGCGGAGTCCAGAGGGCGGCAACCCATCGGCCACGGTGACGAGCGGGCGGCCTACCCGCGCGGCGGACAGAGAGCACTCGCAGTGCAGCATAACGCACAGATCACACTGCTCGGGGCGACCGCCAGTAGATAAACTGTCACTTAATTATGATTATGCTGCAGGTGCTGGTCGTTTATTAACGGTTCATTTGGTCACAGTAAACTCATCACACATAGCAACCCCTCGCTGTATTGTTCAGAGTAGCATGGAAAGAATGGGGTGTAATCCCCGAAAATCGACCAAACATTGAATTTCATGGCAAAGCAAAACCGGTTTTGGTTCATGAAGTATAGTAAGACATCCAACCTAAGCGCACACTATTCATAATGAAAATATGTACTTCGCGAACCCACGAGACCTCGGGTCCCTTGAGACTAACCGGACTAACCCCTTTATAAGGCGTTTGGCGCCCTGGCCGTTGCCATTATTAAAATAATTTCGAGTAATTCAGGAAAGATTTCTTGCCACACTGATTCTGTCCCGCCTCCCGAGCAAACTGAAACCACCCCGAGGCTCGCACACGCAGAGATGAGCGTTTCCCACGTTACTGACGACCGGTCAGCTCTCTGCGCGCTAGCCCGTCAATCGAGGCGAACGCTGGGTTGGGGCGCGTGTCGGCTTGGAAGCTGAAAGAGACCGGAGCCGCCCCACGACGCACGGCGGAACCGGACGCATGGCCAGTACTCGGTGGCGTGGTTGGTTTGACTTTATTTTGCCCGAAGGAAAATGCCCTCAACGACTCATCATTCAAACTTTGCAGAAGGGCCTTTTAAATTACACACTCTTTAATTTGCAAATACAGAACCTATGGGAGAAATAATAAAAATAAGTAAGGCAGGACCGCGGAGACATACTAAGCCTGCATGGAAAATAACAAGTCCACTTGAAAACAGTCAAAATTCAGACAGACACTAATGGAACTGTGCGAATCCCGTTAGAAAGACACATAAATTTTTGTAGAAAATACAATGCATGGTTGCCACAGTCTTTTCATTTCCATTTCCCCTGAGATTTTTCTGATTTATAGACCCCTCTTTCCAAAATTTCTCTGGATAATTTTAGGCACCGTTTCCCGGTGAAGTAGGCTAAAAGGGCCAAAACGCCCCCAAACAGTGCATGACGGGTAATTTTCTGCAGTTATCCATACACTTTACATAGGGCCTAGCAAAAAGCTAGAGCCGAGAGAGTAGCAGCCAACGAAATTTAACCCTTTATCGTCAATACTTAAATACACCGTACGAAAAATTATTTTTTTGTCGGCGGCCGCGCGCGGCGCTCTGGCGCGATCCAGAGCGCGCTACAGGGGCTGTTGCTCCTGAGCAACAAACGACGATACAGGCACTGCAAGAGTAAGGGGTCAAATTTTCACCTCCGTCCCACGCGCAGGACACGATATCTCCCTTGATTACCCCCCCCCCCCTCCCCACCGGGCTCTCAAGGCCCGATCTCGTCCGGACGGCCGCGAGTACTTTAGGGATCGTCCAGAAAGTGCGTCGAGTGCACCGAGAGGACGGATGCAAAACGAAGCGAAATTGAAAACAAAATAAGATGAGACAAGAAAGTATCCGTCCAGCAGCGACCTCCCGCTCGTGCGAGTACTGACTGAAGCACTCGCGGCCGTCCAGACCAATTCCTTACCAACGAAAATGTATCTCTGTACTTAACAGCAGGCAGAAGGCGGACTGAGGCACTAACATACATACCTCTCTCTATTGGTATACTACTACGCCGTCTTTGCAAATAAAGGGAAACAAACCTAATTTAATACAGCAAATCAGTAACGATACGTTTCGGAAGCCAGCATCAAACAAAGTTAGTTTAACAAACGTTTCCCCCTCGACGCAGGCGCGCGGTGCCGCGCGGCGCTAATTTTACAGACCTCGGGCGCTTTGGGAAGGGGGCCGGGCTCGCCATTTATCGCCCGGCCCCTGCCTCGCAGGTGGGCGGAACTTAGCGCCTCAGTTCGAGTCGTCCCAAACAGTAACAGGGCACAGTTTGGGTTTGGGGCTAGATCTTAACAAATTTACCTGACATTTTCTCATTTTTCCTGAGTTTTCCCTGATTTCCCTGGTTTAATTTCCCTGAGTTTTCCAGGTTTTCCAGGTTTTCTAGAGTTGTGGCAACTATGCAATGGATTTCCATATGGTTTTTGTCTTGAAGCCGGCCGGGGAGACACTTTCGCCTGGGGGCGTATCGCGTGCTGCAGCTACACCACCATAACGGCGTAACGGCCTCCCGAAACCGACTTCTATCGTGAGTTGGCATAGCCAAATTGAACAGGGAATACATACACACCTAGGACCCCTGTGCAAAGTCAGTTGAAAAGATGAGTCATCGGACAATTCTCCTCACTACAATGTCAGGCTAGCGGCCACGAATCTCAGTCACGCGACAATCAGAGGCCAGTGGCCGTAGGCGCGGGCTCGCGGCGCCGAGGACGGGCCCCCCACCCGCACGGCGGCAGGTCGTCTCCTGACAGTCAAGTGGACTCAGCAAGCAAGAGTCTATCCTGCCGCGCAACGTCGGCGGGTGGTGGCTGGAGGTGGAGCTGGGGTGGCAAAAGTGAGCTGCGGGCAGCCGGGACCGGAGCCGAGCGTGGCAAGAAAATATACAGGTTATTGTTACAACTTGCACCCCACCCCCACCCGTTCCGTCCCGTAAGGCAGGACGTGGAGGGCGGGGGGAGGCGGCGGTAACACCGCGGACGCCGCGGGGAAGGACCAGCCAGGTGCGAGCCGGGGACTCGCATCGCCCCGCCCAGCAACGGCAAGGGCAGGGTGCGCAGGAATGTGACACGGGGAGGTCAACAAAAGGACATCGACAGCGAGTTATGATTTGGGCAGAGGGGCAGGGGGAGGCTATGTTGCTATCACTCACTACTTAGTAGTTTCTGCAGGCTGATCGCAACATCGGCAGGTAACTTCTGAACATTCTCGCTTCGCTGGCTGCCAGTTGTAGAAGGGCGGTTTGCAGGTCCTCTCACTAAAGTGCCGCGTATGGAGACACCCTGTGAAAACCATAAAAAAATCAATTAGTTTTACTATTCACTGAGTTTTTTTAAAATCTTCCCTCGCTCAAACGCCGACAAGATGGTTCCGTAAATGTCAGTGCCTCGTTAGATGCAGACGCGTCTCACGAAACAGACGTTGACAGAGTGAAACGCAGTGAAATTTTTACAGTACATTTCCCACATGAGCACGTTACCCCCTTCAGTGGCAAGGTGGCAGCGCGTAGCGCGGGACTACAAGCAGAAGCTTAGCACTAAAGCATCACTAGTGTCCTTGTTGCGGCGTTATTTTCGACGCAGTTTATGCCCCTCATGACTATCTTTCCACGCCGGAGACGATACGACTATTTATTTTAACCGAAGCATACAGGAAATTTTGCGTGTTGTGGTTCTGCGCTGCGCGCTGCCACTGCGTCACAGAATCGGGTAAAGTGTTGATTTGCCCTCCCCCGCAGGGTCATAGGGCGTAAAAGACCCGCCCGCCCGCCCGCCGTGCCCCCAGAGTTTGGCCCGTTTGGTCACTCACGCTTGTTTACTTTGTTGTGGTTCATGCCGCGTGGTCGGGTCCGGCGATGGCTGGCCGGTGCTGGCCGCTTGGTTCTGGGGACGGCGGCAAGGATCTTCGCCTAATTTAATTGTTCGCCTTTCCTTCACTTGCCTGTTCGTCCTGTTCCCGTTCGAATCTCTCGTCGCCGTGTTTTCACGTTAGGTTGGGAAGGAAACAGTATCCCAGAAGTAACTGGCTGACGCGACGAAGTGCTACGGGCGAAGGTCCAGCACAGACTGGCCTCACAACAGTCACGTGGCAAACAGTCGTAGTCATACCAACAGGTGGCGCTCGTATCTCGTATCACTAGCATCCCCTGGTGGGTATGCATCCCTTCCAGCATGCCGGACGCCACAGGTGGGCTGGCGAACATTTTTGTCGTCTTGAGCTTTAACGTTCTAGTGCAGTCTCCTGGCTGGCCTGGACCGAAGCGTACGCTGTGCAGTTCAGTTCAGTTTTTAAAGGGTTTTATTGAAGTCAAATTAAGTTACATTTGGATTTTACATAGGTTGGTGTGCTGTTGCCCGTGGGCCTAACAGTAATTACTTATATTAATTAACGAGTGAAAAGGTATGCGGTGGAGCGTAGATGAAGGGGTGATTTGGATGGTGTGCTCTGCAGCTTCTCCGCTGCGCGGCGCGCGCGCCTGGTAGGTAGGCCGCCCATCCTTCTTCTCTGGAGTTGCAGGAGTCTCGTACAGCTCAAGCAGTCCACGCCGATCCGCCTGCTGTCATGAGCAGGTGCAGCGCGGGGCGCGCTGTACTACCCCCCCCCCCTT